ATTGCAGCTTTTGGCTGGCTCTTCCCACTCTCCCACTCACAGTATGCCAGGGAGAACAACATCCTCCCACTCTGGGAGGGACAGGACCTGCACACACAGGGAAGGGGCTGGCAAGGCTGTGGCAGACAGCTCTGGGGCTGGTTGCTGCAAACAGGGGCTGCACATCCCAGAAAAGGGGCTGAGCACCCACGGCGAGGCATCCACGGCCTTAAATGTCTTAAATTCTTAAATGCTACTTTAAGAAATGTGATGGGTATGCAGGAAGGAACTTTCTCCAGCTCTTTGATGGAATTGCTTGATTTTTACCCATGAAATCACTTTCTCATTAAGACAACTTCTGTGTACTTAAAAATAGGAGACTGGAGAAACGCAGAAATGTTCTAAAGGAGCTGCCCAGACTAGGACTGGGGAAAACAGAAATCCTGCAGAGCTTCTCCAGAGAGGAGGGAACCCTCAGCCTGTGTTGCCCATCCCTGTCTTGCAGATCTCTGTAATTTCCCCCCACAATTCCCCTTTTTGTTGTTGTTGTTATCACAGAATGCTTTGGGCTGGAAGGGACCTTAAAGCCACCCCTGCCATGGCAGGGACACTTCCACTGTCCCAGGTTGTTCCAAACCCTGTCCAACCTGGCCTTGGGCACTGCCAGGGATGGGGCACACCCAAATCCAGCTTTCAGCATCAATAAAACACACAAGGTTGGATTTGCAGTGCTTCCCCATGTGGGTGTTTGAGGCCACTGGAGGTTTTTCCCTCAGTCTCACTCCTTCATGGGAAGGCTCCCAGGGAGGCCCAACACCCCTGACGTGGCATTTCTAACAAGTTTATGTTCTGTGGGAATCCTAAACGACCTTGATCAGGCTCCTGCCTGCTGAAAAGCTCTCCTGGCACGAGCTGCAGGTTATTCATCTTTTACCCAGGTGCACACACAGCCCTGAGTCATGCACCACCAACAGATGGGAAGAATCTGATATTTATGAGCTGCCACCTTTTTATTTTTTTTCCCCCTAGAAATTAATTTTTCATTAAATCCCTTTGAATTACCAGAGTAACTTCATTCAAGGAGATAACCTGGAAAGGGCTGTTTTTAACATAACTATTTGTGCTTAATCAATTAAGCAAATTGAACCTCTGGATTTTGGACAATACACTCAGGGCAGGTGTGGCATTATCCCTTCTGGTTCAATCCAGGTTTCCATGTCTCTGGGAATTCCTAGGGATGTAATAACCATGAGTGTTAATTAAAACCAGGTCGAGGTGTCACAGGGAAGGTGTGACACCAAAAAGGGGACAAGCCCAGGAGTGGCACCTGTGCCTCTGCAGCCTGAGAGATTTGCAGATTATAGATGGTACACAAAGAACAACTTCATGGTGGGTGTTTTGTCAAAAGATTTACAGGTTTGGAGTGGCTCAGGTGTTTAATTGCACTTGATGGGAGCTTGAATTGCCTGGGAAGAGCTGGGAGCACAGCAGGAGCCCAGAGGTTCAGGGAGAAACCTCTTATGTTATATTATCATGTGTATAACAATTAGTATAGAATAGAAAAATATATAAATAAGTGCCACTTGATGGGGACTTCAATTGCCTGGGAATATCTGGGAGCAGAGTCCCCAGCTGGTCACACAGACTGTGGGGAGAAATCCTCCTGCATTATTTCATCATACACATAAAACTCCATTTACTAATTAACAGAGCCACGTAGAACTAATCTAGAACAATAGTGGTAATATTTCTGCTTGGCTGATTGCTTCATCTAACATATAAATAAAACAACTCTTAAAGAACAACTTAGAAGAAAAGAACTCTTAGGAGAACAAAGGAACAACACTCCTGCACAAGCGGGGTGGATAAATCAGGCACAAGTGACACGTGAGGACAGGCCTGGGGACAGCTGGCAGCACATCTGGATATCCTGGGGACAGACAAACCCCAGAGTGGGCCTGTGACAAAGCACCTCAGGTGTTTTAGCTCAGACATGGGCAGAAGGGGGCCAGAGGAAACAATTCAGCCCTAAATATTTTCCCTGTTGGCTTCCCACCCTGGTGGGAGCCCTGTTATTTATATGCATGAATGATTTCTTCCTCTATTACCAGTTACCTCCTTTGATTAAATGTATTAGTGCCTTTTAAGTTATTTCAAGGCTACAATCATTTTGAAATTAAATGATCCTTTGAGTACCCTTTGGGAGCTGAATGCTAAACCGACAGTTCCATAATGCAAAAAAGAATGGTGGTTGTGCTCATTTTATTTAATTAAACTGCACTCTTGATCAAGCAAACCAAGTGGGAGAATATTAACCTATTTCTTACTCCTAGAAAAGAAGTAAAATTATAAACTGGACATTCTATTGTCGTGGTCAAATGATGTCTTGATTCAGCTGACACCTAAACTGTTGTGTCAGGCAGCTGTAATTTCATTCAGCAAAGATCCCAAAAGAACATTTCTGGGTTTTTCCCTGCTACTGATCGATTATGTCCAAGTAGGAAACACTTTAAAAACTTTTCTCCCTTCAAGCTTTGCAAAAGATCTGAATTTAAATGGCACTTTTAAGGCTCTTTGGAGGCCAAGTACAACAGCAGCCCGGCTTTTGAAGAGCACACAAAAATACTTCTGGCCCCAAAGAAAGGAATGAAGTGACAAAAAGAGGAAGATAAAAGCAATTCCAAGTCCCAAACCTACAGAATCCCCTCAGTCCTGGCCTATTCTTTAGAACTAAACCTCATTTTGCAAATCAAAGGACCAGCTGCTAAACTTGCCTTAAAAAAAGAGGTAGGTCCTGAATGCAGGGCTGAGAGAGTCCCAGGCTGCCATCAATCAGTCCCTCAGGTCCCCCTGCTCCCACCAGGAGTGTCCCCATCCCTGGAGCCCAGTCCTGGGGCTCCAGTGCCCAGGGATGCTCTCCCGTCACTGGATCAGTGCCTGGAAAATAAACTTTCTGTGAGGAACCCCGTGGGCTTCACTCTCAGGAGGTGCCTCAGCTCCATTGGGGCTGCACAAATGTTGTACCAAAAAAAGCCAAATGTCACTATTTAGAGAGAGCAGTGTGTATCCTCACATATGGAATTGGTGGCACTGGAAAAGGGACAAAAGAAAGGAAAAAAAATTTCTTTGGTCAAAACTTAAAAATCCCAAATTTCACATAGAAGCCTTCAAAGTAGATTAAAAACAATTCTCCAAACACTCCCAGCTTTCACTCGTGCTTAACAACTGTTTCCCTCTGTGAAAAGGCACTTCAAATTGCATTTGCACTTCTGCCTGGATGTTTTATTTCCCTTTGTGATCCAAGTGATCGCTGCTTTGTAAGATTCATCCTGGGCAATTAATATATCAAGCAGAGAATGGCACCAGGGGCTTCCCCAAAGAGATTTTGGCAGCTCGGGGTTCACTGGGAAATCCTGCCCGTAGGTCCCAGCCCTCTGGAAGTTATTAAACAGCACAAGGATGTCACAGAATTAAAGCCCCTCAGTTAAAATGAACATGGCACTTCATGCACCAGGAGCCAACGTGTGTTCCACCTGATAAAAATCTCAGCTCTGCAGCCCCAAACAACAGGTGCTGGGTGATAAAAGTCAAGACAAAAGTGCTAAAGCCTCTCACATACTTTCCCCAATTTCTACAGCAACAGAGCTGTGACAGAGGGCTCCTGACTGCTCAATTTGATGGCCAGGCAGACTTATAAAAGCTGAGTTTCCTAGGGGAAGGCATAATGAAATCAATGCACTCATGAATATGGATGGCGGGCCGGGGCCATCTGTTCGCCACCAACATCTTTTCTTAAAACAAGTTTCAAATATTTCGCCAGAGACGTCTGGTATCTTTATTTCCACGGATAAAATTAGACCTTGGATTTTCACCATCTCCGGTCATTAAGTGCTATTGTTATGGAAATGTGGGGTGTTTTTTTCCCTCCACTGATAATCAAAAGATTGAGTGATAAAACAGTTTGAGAAGTTCAGGTGGAGATTTCGTCGGTGTGGAGGAGCTTCACAATATTGACAGTCAGGGCACGCCGTGTGTAATGTAAATATAACTTCTGTGTCCTCCCCCCGGGGAAGCAGAGCCTGGGATGTCCTGCCCTCATTTGTATCCTGCATCCATCTGATTTCCTCTCCTTCCCACAGAAACATCACAAGGCATTTTTATTCTGCACTCATGAGCCTGGCGAGGATTTGTGTGATTGGGTGGAGGAGCTGCTGCTCTGGGTGGGGATGGGAGAGATCCAGGAGCCATCCAGGATCTCCTGGGATCTTCCAGAAAAGCCAGGGGGGCCCTGGGCTGTGTCTCTGCATTCCCACTCCTGCTCTGGGGGGAAGCTGAGCCTGAACCAGGCAGGGCTGACCCAGAGAATTCCTGAGTGCCAAAGCCAAGATGTGGGAATGGAAAACACAAACCACTGTGGGAACTAACTCCAAACCCTGGAGAAAGGATGACTGAGGGTGATTTTATCACCACAGAAATATTTTAAGGGCCGGTGCCAAGAGGAGAGGGCAAGACTCTCAGTGGTGCCCAGCCACAAGTGGCAACGAGCGCAACGTGAAACACGGGGAGTTCCAGCTGAACGTGTGGAAAAAACCCATTTTGTGGGTGGCAGAGCCCTGGAACAGATGCCCAGATTGTGGAGTGCCCTTCCCTGAGATATTCAAACCCACCTGGATTGCTCTGGGTGAGCCCACTGAGCAGGGGTTGGACTTGGTGCTCTCCAGGGGCCCCTTCCAAACCCAACCCCAACCCCAATCCCAATTGCAATCCCAACCTCAACCCCAATCCCAATTCCAACCCCAACCCAGCCTCAGGTTCTGGGAGTCCCCAGCTCTGGGGCAGCAGGAGCAGAGTTGAAGCCTCTCACAGGAAGGATCTGTCTAAAGCAGGTTGCTCTCAATTACTGTATTCAGCCTTAATTAATAATCAGCTCCTGGTTACTCAGAGCAACCATGAAGCTGAGGCAGCCCAGATGAACAGAATCCCAACTGCTCCCGGAGAAGTGAGTCTAAGGACACACTCACAGGAAGGGAATTGGCCCAGAGCTCTCCTCCTGGGGTCCCAGCAGCCTGGCCAACGTCAGCACCTGCTCCAGCCCCACGGGCTCCAGCTACATTTGATGGCACACACGGTTCCAAACCAGAGCAGATGCATGAGGTGTCCTGTGGTGAGCTCTGAAAATAAAAACAACCCAAAAACCCAAGAAAAAAGAAATTAATTGAGGTTTTGAATGTTTCAGTCTTACAATATTCCTCTCCATTTCAGCCTATTGATAGCATTTGTGTGGCTGTTAAAAATAATAATTCAAAATAAACCCAAGTGAAAAGATGTGGGAGTAAAAACATTAAAATTGAATATTATCGAAATAGTCAGAGTTTTTTAAATAAACCTCAAAAGATCAATACCTGCCCAAACCTTCTGATTTTATTGAAGTGAGGTTTTGGTCAAGAAAATGCCCCAAGTGCCTGCTGGATCACCCAGGGATGCTCAGCCCAGCCACGCTCCCCCTGGAGATGGAGAACAGCCCGGGCTCATGGCTGGGGCTCATTTCCCAAATTAATTTCTGCAGCTGATCCTAAGCGTGGACAACCTGGGCAGGTTATGCCATAACAGCTTTTCCATTTGCATCCAAATTTGGGGCATTATGCTCAACCTGCTCATCCACTTCCACTCAAAGGTGCAGCTTGCTCAATTTGCATAATAACTATCTCCAGCTAATTATCCCCATTTGTTCATGGAAGCAGCCACTTTCTGTAGGGCTTAAAATTACCATAAACTGTGCATAAGATCAAGACAACACCGATTTATCTTATTAACAGTGAAGGAGTTTGTGTGTTAATTAGCAGGGGATTACTTTGGAAATGCATTCAGATGTCCTCAGGACCAGTTCACCTGACAAGCCCCGAGCGCCTCTCAGGATGTGCAGCTCAGGGCTGGTGCAGAGGAGAATCAGAAGCTCCAAGAGCAATGGGTGAGGCCAGGGAAGCACCCAGGGAGTGACCATCCTGGGAATTCCTGGCTGGAAAACAGCCCCACACCGTGTGGGCACTGCAGAGGTGCAGAAACCTCTGGGAGGAGTTGGAGAAAAGTGAGATAAAAGTGCTTGCAGCAGAGTGTAGGTAACCTCAGCAAGCTCCTGCCCACAGTAAAATTCATTTTCTGCATTTTTTGGACGGCATTTTGGACAAATTGTTAATAAAGGTGCAAAATTGAGGTCTGTTCTCCCTGAGAGCTCAGTGCCTTGCTGATATTCTCCTACTCTGCTTAGTGAGCAGCTGCTGCAGCCTGCCCTTGCAGCAGCTGTCAGAGCACTTCCCATAATATTCATGGGTGCTCCATGTTTTCCAGCAGCAGGTGGTACAATTTCTGTATCTGCAAACCATCAGCATTCAAATCCAGATTTTTCTCCTTAATAGCTACTACACAGCCACAAAGTGTTATCTTTCCTAGCCATATTTTTAATACCCCCAGTAAAAGCCGAAGTGAGGACTTGTATTTAAGGGAAAGATGTTCCCATGAAAGTTAAAGTGAGAATTTCACACTGGGAAAAGATTAGAATAATATAAACTCTCAAGTACAGAGCCATTTACTCTCCATTTTTCCTGTGCCCCAGAAATAGCCTCCTTAATTTTCACTCTGGGGTTCCCACAGGCACCCATGTGGATGCTGGGAATTGGACAAACTCCTTACACAGCCAAAGGAACTCAGAGGCTACAAAGAACAAAAGAAAAGCAGATTGCACTAAACAGCTTTGTTTTTAAAGGCCCCAAACCCTTTAAAAAGAATTGCAATGTGAAACTCAAACTAAAATAATTATTTGCTGCTTTTCCATCAAAGCCAACGTTGACATTTAATGGAAATGGGCATTTTTCAAGCCAACATTCGTGTGCTGCACTAAATTTCCAAGAAAACAGATCCTCTATCTGTGTCCTTAAAAACCATGGAATTTGAGCACAACCCCTTCCCTAGCAAAGCCATGAGGCACAGAATGTGGTTCCCATAAACTGCATGGCCATAAATCTTTATTTCCTGGTGGCATGATGGATTTCATAAGACAATGGATTTAACAATCCCTTTTTGCCAACCAGTTCCCTAATTGCTTAGGAAACCCCTTCTGGGTTTTTAGGCATGTCTTAAGGAACTAATTTTCCACAGTGATCCTGAAAAGAGCTGCAGCGTAATTGCCAGGGAGTTAATGGAGTCATTGTGCATATTTTTGTTCTTCATTTTCCTAAGAACAATCTGAGCCTTCCAGAGAGATAATGGAGAATATCAAAGGCATCTTTTACATCAGGTGAGGCTCTCACACACCAACCCCACGCAGCTAAAAATTCAACGGCAAGACCTGTATCAGCTGCTCTCCAAAGTTGTTTTCCATGTCAATAAAGGAGCAAGTCAGAAATAAATGAAAACACAATGGCCAGAGGTGCTGGTGATTTTCAGCAATCTGCTGGAATTGCTGGCCTGGCTGTATGTGAGGGCACAAAACTCAGAATTATCCCTTCCCTTTCCATGGCAGGGGGTTGGAACCAGAATTCCAGAATCATTTAGGTTGGAAAACATCTCCAAGGTCATCGAGTCCCAGCTGTGCCTGATGCCACCTTGTCCCCAGCTCAGAGCACCGAGTGCCACCCCAGGAATCCCTTGGACACCTGCAGGGATGGGCACTCCAAAGCTCCCTGGGCAGCTCTTCCCAAGGCCTGAGCACCCTTTCCATGGGGAAATTCCTCCTGCTGTCCAACCTGAGCCTCCCCAGCCCAGCCTGGGGCTGTTCTCTGATGATTTCTGAGGTCCCTTCCAAGGAGAACCATTCTGTTTCTGAACATCTCCCACCTCCCTCCCTTTCATCCACAGCTTCCTGGAAATGGTGTTCACTCATCTCATCCCTGCAGGCACAGACACTGCCACCACTACCACCATCATCATCATCATCATCATCGGGCATCATTTTGTGCTGGGGGCTCCCAAAAACACCCCCCTGACAGCAACACAGCCCTGCACAGGATCTGTGACCATCACTACAGACCAGCCCAAGCACCAACGAGCCAAGAGCAGCACCAGCTCTTTGATTTTCTTGCAAAAAAAAAAAAAGGTTTTTTTTAAAATTCTAGCCAGGCAGCCATAGGCAGAGTGTGCCACAGGGGGAGAGAGGTGCTCAGCCAGCCTGCTTTGGGGATGCAGATTAGAAAACCCAACTCTTTTCCACAAATGGCTCAGCACTTCCTGTAAAGAATATTTCAGGCACAAGGCTGATTTTGATCTTAAAGACTAAAGAAACATCAAAGGGAAACACCTGTGGGTATGCAGCAGTGCTCCTAGAACAAGCAGGAATACCAATTGATAAATATTCTGTATAAATATTGAACTGGGAGCCCACCTGAGCCCTGCCCTGCAGCCAGGGACACCTGTGACCAGCCAGCCTTGGGTTCCAGCAGAGCCCAGGCTGCCCCTGGGTCCAGAATCCAGCTCCTGTCCCATCCCAGGGCTTCTCCCTGCGCCCACCTGGGATTTTGCTCCTGCCTTCAGGCTGGGCTGGGCTGTAGATGAGATTTGAGGTGGTGATTTTGGGTAAAGGCAGCCCTGGGGGCGTGGGGCTGTGAGCAACAGCGAGATACAGCAAAAATGATCACAGACCCCCGCTGAAACCAGAAGGACAATCATCCAAAATGGCCAAATTTCACCTGATTTCTCAGCAAAACAGGCAGCAAAAAGCACAAGGCTTTACACAGCTTCCAGCAAGGACTTCCCACAGCCCACAAAATTCATTTTGATTTCTCTTGTGCACTGCTGCTTTCAGCTGCAGCCCGGGAGCAGAGGGGGGTGCATGGTTTCATTTAAAACTCTGCAGTTTCAGGCTGGCACTCCCCAGCTCTGAGCAGCTCCCTTCACAGACCAGCATCGTTTCTAATCTCACCCTGAGCAAACACTTGTAAATCTGCTAAATGACTCAAATTTGCAGTTTTTCTCCCTCTCGGTTTGCTGGATCGCTGTCTCAAACAGTTTCTCTGCCCAGTCAGATTTTCAAAGCAAGTTTATAAAACGAGCATCTGTTGATAATCTAATAAGTCTGGAAAGAAAATATTTCTCTTTTCCACACAATGCTGGGAAAACCTTGAAACTTGTAAACAAGCAGGGGATGTGACAGCAGCAATTGGTTTCTGTTAACAGCAAAATACAAAGGAAGGAAAATACGAGTAGAAAAAGTATCTCTGTGCATATTAATATCGTTTTTGTAGCAAGGCACTTTCATGAAGTTTGACTCAGTGTTGTAATTAAAATGTTCTGTAACGGTGGTAATTACCCCATCAGGTAAGGCACAATGGATGGCAGAGCAAACCTACAATGTAATGATTATTTCCAAGTTGCATCTCAGTTTTTGTGCATTTTAAACACCTTCCCTGTGTTTAAAATGCCTGGGAAAGGGATTTTTAACAGGGTCCAACACGTGAGAGTGCAGCCCCAGCCTGGATTTTTGTGGGATTTTTGTTACCTTTGCTTTTCTTTTTTGATAAACTGCAGCCTTTTGAAGAGAACTAATTCTACTTCTAGATGAAGTGATGAAATTTCATCCAATTAAACCCCACCTGAGCACACCTTGATGGTGCAGAGAGAGAGGCTTCTCCCAGTTCTCCCCACCACAGAGCATCTCTGCCTTCAGGAGCACAAAAACCCAGGAAACTTCTGGAAACCAACCCAGAACATCCCAAATGTCACAGAAATGACAAAGCCCTTTCACTTTGCAAACGGTTTCGAGGCACATTGACCTTGGGGTGGTAAAATTTCCTTTTTTTGGGGAAGGAGTGGGGTGTTCAGTCCCATATTAAACCAAGGTAACACAAAGCATCAGAGAATTCCTGCAATTCAGAGAGTTCTGGGGTTTGAAGCCTTCACAAAGCATTTTGAGTGCTGCAGCAAGATGAATTATCTCCCATTTCTTGTATCAAACCCTGATGTCATGTCTGGAAAAACACTAAACCCTGTCAATTATTTCTGTCTTCCTAGGTTCCAGCAGTCCTTTGCAAGCTCGTCCAGCAAGAAAATAACCCCTTTCACTTTGGAAAGGGGCAATAAAGATGATGGATGCTTTTTGGAGTTTATTTTTGCTGTGTCCATAAACATTCCCCTAATAGCTCATCACAGCTGACGAGGAGCTTGGCGGAGCCAACTGCTGTTG